TTTTGGAATCTTACTGTTATTTTGTCCTTGGAAAGAGTGTAATCCAAATTCCTCAGATCTCTAGATTTCAAGGGTGTTATGTATTCCTAATGTACTGTTAACGAGGGAGGTAAGGATAACCAAAATTGAAATGAGCAAAGCATTTCCGTTACTGCATTCTGGAAGTTAATGTTCTTTTCAGAATGTCTGGATTCTTTTCTTTTTGCAGACACTTTATGAATCAATATGGACTAAGACAATTCTGCAAAAATTGCAATAGAGTAGTATGGGTTTTCAGCCATAAGGCTCAACACTCATTCCATTCAAGTAATGTGTCCAAGATCTGTAGATCTAACTGGATCAATCTGCCCTACCCAGGAATGTTTTCCTGAGCTGTCAGGGTCCTTCTTTAAGCCAGCAAAGTATCCACACTATATAACTATCCCTAAACTCCACGGGCACTAATTTTAACAGGCATTAATAGACTGCTTACAGCCATTCTTAAGGGCAGATACAAAAAAAATTCATATGGATAAGATTGTGCCCATGTGAAGAAAGGTCTATCGAAACCATGATCTAAACCTCCTGTATTTATTTTTTTTAATAAGGATGCAAGAGTCCATCTCACTACTCCCTAGCTTGTTGGAGGATTGGTAAGAGTTCTTGTATAACTTTTAAATTCAATTCAAGATGCTGATAATGACTTATAAAACCTCTATGCAGCCCAGTTACATCTACCCATTCCATCATGACCAGCAGAAGAAGCATGGTCCCCTCTACCAAGAATGTCATCTGACAGGACCCAGGAAAAGAACCTTTTTTTATCATTGTGCCAATCTTCCATAACATCAGTCCCTCCAAAGCTAAACTGGCTCCACCATGCTGATCTTCCCAAAGAGCTAATGGGTTTGCCATTGTGCTTGGGGGCCCAGTAGTGGTATGGAGCCTATCAGTTGGTTAGAGTCTTAGTAATTGGGTGGATTAGACTCTACTCTCCTGCAAATTAAGCTTTGAATTGTTTTAATTAATTTTTAATGGAATTTATTTTAGGTTTTTTTTGTAACTATTTGTTTTTAATTGTGTGAACTGCTCAGTCATGTATGTGATATGGGCAGTTACAGTATATGAATGAATGAATGAATGAATGAATGAATGAATGAATGAATGAATGAATGAATGAACAATAAATAAATAAATATTTGGAGTCACCACAATAGAGAAAGCTAAGCTAAGCAGTCCTTTCACCACCAAGATTTTAAGCTATGGGGTTTTTAAATCTACTGCTATGAACCGTACCTGAAGACAAAGTAAATAAACTGAAAGACTGTTAAGTACTGGAAAAATAAATCTCCAGCCTTTTCTAAAAATGTGTATCATGCTCATGTGAAACATTCCAGAGTTTACTGGGACTTACAAACAATCTTCATTCTATGTTTAGACTGTTCATGCCCTATGTAAGTTGTTCTTAAATAGGCCATGCTCAGTTCACATATGCATTCAACTTTGCATATAGGAGAAGTTGATTTATGATTTAATGGAGTTCTGTTCCTTCTGTTCCACCCACGCTTTGAATGGATGGCCAAACCTTGCAGTTTCCCCAAATGTGCCATTAGTCTCCCATTTATGGAATGAAATTGTTCATGTGACCAAAAGAAAGACAACTGAGCTGAATGAGCAAAGAAGGTTATATTTAAAAATGTTCTAAAATTCAGAATGTTCCTGTACGACAGAAGATTTATGTTTTGAACTTAAACTCTCCAAGAATTTTTTCTAATACAAACTTTTTTTTTTTTGGATTATGGACTACAATAGTAAAGGTTGGAAACAATCTTGTCTGAATACTTTGGTTTCATTTATTCCCTTACTTTAGTCAATGGCTTGGCTTGCTTTTCTAAAGAATCCAAAATCACCATCCACCAAGAATGAGAAGGTTGATCCCTTTAACACTCTGGCATCTGCTTAGGGGAAGTCCTTGTTAAAGAGATCTGGCCCAAGCATATTGCTAGGCTTTTAACTCCCAAGCAACACCTATCACCAGATAAAACCTGCACCTTTCAGCATAGAGCCTGTAAGATTTGCTTATTATGTTGTGTTTAAAAATCTCTGAACGTGCATGACCAGGTTATAAATGAAACATTGCTTTCATTCTCTCCTATTTGCTCAAAAAACATATTTGCTTCTGGCACTAGTCTTGGGTGTCCTTTCAGCACACCATGCAAGCTCAATTACATTTTAATTGCCTTTTTCCACTATGCATAATGAACATACTGGTTTTGAGTGATGGTTTTTAAACAGGCTGTTCTTTTCTCTTTTTTTCAAGTCAAACTTTAAATGTAAATATTTGGCTTGGGTTTCTTTTTTGGGTGTCTCTGATTCCATGTAATGCAGATCTGCTCACATCAGAGATGCATTTTAATCTTTGTATATATAACTGGAAGGGAAAAGTCCCTTTTGGAAGTTATTCCCCACACATTAAACATGGAGAGAAGTCCACATCAGCCCTACCTTTTACCTCCATGTTATATTGAAGATATTAAGTCCAACCTGTCTGTTCAAATTAAGGAATCCCTGCCAGCCTCTGCCTGAACACACCCAGAAAAGGAAAGTCTACCACTCCTACAGTAATTGGTTTAATTACTCTTACTGTTAGGTTTTTCTCTCAGATTCAACCAATTGTCTTTCTGGACTTAAATGCCATTATTATATAGCTAGTATTATTGCAAGTATTCCACACAGTGTTAATTAGATGCTTCCAAAAATAAATGTAAGTTGAATATCTTTTTGCTGTCTCTCTTGTTAAGCCACCTCTCATCAAAATAACATTAATGTGGAATATGGCTTGATATGTAATGTGGAATATGGCTTCATTTCAGATGAAATGAAAGCTCAATAGTCTTGGCAATTTCTGTCTCCCATTATGAGCACGTGAATGAGGGTGGAAATAAGCCACACTGCAACTTCTATTATCACAGGATAGGAAACAGGCATGGGCAACATCACCACAAGATAAGTTCTTGATGACTTGGCTCTATATTTCCTATTTTGCAGTCGGCATGGGGCTCAGCCACCCAGCCTGTTTGCAACAGCACAAACACCTTACAATTTGCCAAAGACATCATCTCATAGGAGATACTCAATCTCACGGCCAGCCCACCACTGGTTTAGGCTGAAATTGTGTTAAGGTAATCTAGCAAGAAAGTAGAGTTTTCCATTTTATACTGGCACCATAAGCTATCCACTATTGAGGACAATCAATAGTGCATGGTGAAGGAGATTTCAGTGACTGGTTTTCTGCTGGACTCTAACTGACCTGACAAATCTGCCCTGGGACTGCTTCAGAAGTGGGTTTCAGCAGGTTCTGACCAGTTCTGGAGAACCGGTAGCAGAAATTTTGAGTAGTTGGGAGAACCAGTAAATACCACCTCTGACTGGCCCTGACCCCATCTATTCTCTGCCTCCCGAGTCCCAGCTGATTGGGAGGAAATGGGGATTTTGCAGTAACCTTCCCCTAGAGTGGGGACGGAATGGAGATTTTACAGTAACCTTCCCCTGGAGTGGGGAGGGAATGGAGATTTTACAGTATCCTTCCCCTGCCATGCCCACCAAGCCATTCCCACCAAGCCATGCCACGCCCACCAAGCCACACCAGTGGTGGGTTTCAATTTCTTTTACTACTGGTTCTGTGGGCGTGGCTTGGTGGGCGTGGCATGGCTTGGTGGGCATGGCTTGGTGGGCATGGCAGGGGAAGGTTACTGCAAAATCCCCATTTCCTCCCGATCAGCTGGGACTTGGGAGGCAGAGAATAGATGGGAGGCGGGGCCAGTCAGAATTTTTACTACCGGTTCTCAGAACTACTCAAAATTTCCACTACCGGTTCTCCAGAACTGGTCAGAACCTGCTGAAACCTACCTCTGAGCCACTCCCACAGAACTGGTAGTAAAAAAATTTGAAACCCACCACTGGACTGCTTCCTTCCATCTGACTACTGGGCTCCAAATCTCCATAGAGATTTGTGTGTGACTTTTAGGAATCCTGTAACCTTCTCTTTATAGGTTCTTTATTCTTCTTTCGCTTGTGGTAGTTCCAAGATGGGAATATCATCCTGATCTAAGACTGATTGCAAGTTTTCTGGGACATAGACAAAGTTCTGATTTACTGAATTCAACAGCGATAAACCAGAATCCTATTTTAAATCCAATTATTTTAAAATAAAAGAATATGCAAATTGCCAAACAAATGGAGCAGGCTGGACTGGGTTTTATTAACCATATTCAAATTTTAAATAAATAAATAGATCACTGGGCAATGACAAGGTAAGTGGCTAAAACATTAGGAGCCAAGCTGTGGGAAGCCAAACAGGGGCTCTCAGGAGAAGCTGCTCAGCTTGAAAGTGGTGGTCAGAAGGGCAGGAAAACCATGGGATAGCTCTGTAGAATACTTCAGTGCAGCAGTTCGGAAAAATACATTATACATGCCTCCTAAGAGCTCATTGCTGAATATAGAAAATTATTCTGGATTTCCTGCATCTTAGCTATATGTCTTAAGTGGTTCCAATTTGGTCTTCTAAAAAATAAATATTTAAAAAGCAATGTTGAAATAAGGTTTTGTTTTAATTACAAAATTACCCAGGCACAGATTTTTGACACCTTCAAGATCCTGAATAAGAGCATTTAAAGAAATACATATCGTATTTACATATGATTATCAAAGAGTAAAGCTTTTCACCCTTCAAAAATTGCTGTATCCTTCCATTCTTAAAACTTAAAGCTCTGATTTTCCAGCCCATCTGGGTTGGTGGAAAGAGAGTGTCAACAGATGTACCATTGTCTTCTCTTTAAAACCTTCATAAAACCCAGGCTAAAAACAATGGAGCTAGGAAGTGTAAACAAGTCCCATTCAACTTTATAGGGGAGCTGTTAGCTTTGAAGCTCAATTACACAGCCCCCCCCCCCTTTTAAAACAACATTGTTAATTATTTCAGTCCTGTTAACCCAACAAAAACTCTGAAGTAATGAACTTACCTCAGGCAGGTGATGGTATCTTTTCCCATCTGATTTTTTCCTTTCAAGTAGGAAATAGTGTGAATATTCTGTGACTTTTGATGGTTGAGGTGTTGCTACATGTTTGTTCAAATGCTGAAAGAAAAAAGTCAAGAGGTTAAAGGGGAAATTAAAAAAAAAAACACTACTGCTTTACATAACTGTTGGGACTCTGTTCTAACAAGGACAAAGAAGGGGCTAAATAGATCCAGTTTTATTGGTCAATAAATATATTTGCACAAATATGATTCAATTTTAAATATTGGTTTGGAATCCTGATTCTGATACTAAGGAAGAAAATAATCTGAAAACCCTAAAACCAGGGTTTGCTTATTTTTTGTGATTGAATTGCACTCAAATGATACACTGCTTAATTTCAGCAAAAGAATTACTGTAGCCTTCCCCAATCCAAATATGTTACCATTTTTAATCTTTCTCGACCAGTATGTCCTTTGATTTATGGAAACTGTAGTCTAGCACATCTGGAGTGTGCAAGCAAATTCTCCATCTGCACATTGTCTCTTCTTGATGGTGGCTGGATGATGGCTGGTGGCAAGTTGCCAGACCCTGAAAATTCTGAAATTAGAACTGCCATTGAGAAAACATATGTTAGAGCATACTCTGCTTTTCCTCATTCGTTTATTAGCATATTTATGGCTCAACTTTCTTCCAAGGAATTCAAGGTGCTATATTTTAATCCATTAAAGTTGTCCTTTTAACCTAAGAAAGAGGGTATAGAATGCAACTGATCATCCACAGCAAACCACATGCATAAGTATGAATTTGAATCTGAATCTAGAGTCTCATATTTTCCAGCTTAGCCTTCCCCAGTCTGGCATTCTCCAAAAGGGTTAGGACTTAATTTTACAGTTCTGGGTAGGAATAATGGGAGCTGTAGACCAGGGGTGGATTCTACTTACCTTTAATACCGGTTTGCAGTGGTATTGCAACTCATGCACAGATGATCCATGATGATGTCATGGCAGGTGGGCGGAGCCTCCTGCTAGTTTTACTACCGGTTCTATAGAACTGGACAAAACCAGGAGCAACCTACCATTGCTGTAGACCAAACATTGATAATTCCTATCTTTATATCTAAACTCTGGACTGCCTGAATGATGCTGTAGCTATACTTTCTTAGTGCCTGGAAGCTCTAAGGATCTGGATAGAATGCAATGGGCTTCAAATTAGCCCAAGCAAAATAGAGTGGCTTTGAATATTTAGGCCTCCTGGTGACAAGATTCTTCCACTACTATTCCTGGATGGGTTGGCACTGCCCCAGACAAAGCCAGTATACTATCTCCTCTTGGGCTCATGGCTCCTGCTAAAAAAGCAGGTAGCACCATGGCCAGTAGGGCCTTTATACATCTTAGGGTGGTATGCCAGTTGTGCCCATTTCTGGATTGGGAGACTTTGCTCATTCATGCCCCTGTGACTTGTCTCAACTATTGCAAGACATTCCACATGGGGCTGCCCTTGAAGAAATTTGGAAGCTTCAACTGATGTGGCTAGACTGGTAATGAAGGTTGTCAGGTATTCATCACATATAATACCACTGCTCTTTGAGCTGCATTGGTTACCAGTGTGATTCCAAGTGCAATTTAAGGTGCTGCTTATCATTTTTAAAGACCTTCTTGACTTGGAGGTGGGTTAACTTAGGAACCATCTTATCCCAGTTGTTTCTAACCAATTCAGTAAGGCAGGTTGGGCATGCTGCAGGTCTCATCAGCCAAGAAATGATGCTGGTGGGAACCAGAAGATGTGCCTTCTCTGTCATAGTCCCTGCTCTCTGGAACATTCTTCCTTCAGATATCATGTTGGTGATAGACCCTGTTGACCTGTACTGGGGCTGTGAAGACTTGGTTGTGTGCATGGGCCTGAGGGTCTAAGTGTGTTAAGGGTTAATTTATTTATTTATTTATTTATTTATTTATTTATTTATTTATTTATTAATCAAATTTCTATACCGCCCTACTCCCGAAGGACTCAGGGCGGTGAACAGCCAAGATAAAATACAGATAATACAAATATTAAAAAATCCCTTAAAATTATTAAATATTTCGGCCGAAACACAGATTAAAACACCCAATTTATAAAATCACAAATTTAAAAATTTAAAAAATTTAAAAAATGGGAGTTAGGCCAGGCCAGCTTGCTGAAATAGAAAAGTTTTGAGAGCACGGCGAAACGTGCGCAGGTCCGGGATCTTCCGTATCTCTGGGGGAAGCTCGTTCCAGATGGTAGGTGCCCCCACAGAGAAGGCTCTCCCCCTGGGGGCCGCCAGTCGACACTGTTTGGCCGACGGCACCCTGAGGAGCCCCTCTCTATGGGAGCGTACTGGTCGGTGAGAGGCTATTGGTAGCAGAAGGCGGTCTCGTAGATACCCCGGTCCGATGCCATGGAGCGCTCTAAAGGTGGTAACCAAAACCTTGAAGCGCACCCGGAAGACCACCGGGAGCCAGTGCAGCTCGCGCAGGAGGGGGGTCACATGGGAGCGCCACGTCGCTCCCATAACCACCCGCGTGGCCGCATTCTGGACCAGCTGGAGCCTCCGAGTGCTCCTCAAGGGGAGCCCCATGTAGAGAGCATTGCAGTAGTCCAAGCGGGAAGTAACGAGAGCATGAGTGACCGTATTTAACGAGTCCCGATCCAGAAAGGGACGCAGCTTTCTGGCTGTATCAATATCCATAGTAACAGTTTTACTAGGTAGCATATATATTTATTTTGTACTGTTTTGTTTTAATATTTTATGATATACATGGCCCAGAGTCATTCATTGAGATGGGCAGCTACAGAAACCAAATCAAATAAATAGAATAGAATAGAATAGAATAGAATAGAATAGAATAGAATAGAATAGAATAGAATAGAATAGAATAGAATAGAATAGAACAGAACAGAACAGAACAGAACAGAACAGAACAGAACAGAACAGAATAGAATAGAATAGAATAGAATTCTTTATTGGACAAGTGTGATTGGACACACAAGGAATTTGTCTTGATGCATACGCTCTCGGTGTACATAAAAGAAAAGATACATTTGTCAAGAATCATAAGGTACAATACTTAATGATAGTCATAGGGAACAAATAAGCAATCAAATCACGTTAGGACACAGTCAATATAAATCTTAAGGATACCAGCAACAAGGTTACAGTCATACAGCCATAAGTGGGAGGAGATGGGTGATAGGAACAATGAGAAGATTAATAGTAATGCAGACTTAGTAACTAAGTGTTGAGCGAATTATTTGTTTAGCAGAGTGATGGCATTCAGGAAAAAACTGTTCTTGTGTCTAGTTGTTCTGGTGTGCAGTGCTCTATAGCGTCATTTTGAGGGTAGGAGTTGAAACAGTTTATGTCCAGGATGCGAGGGTAATAAATGCAGGTGAAGGATACCAGGTTGGGGAAGACTACTCCAACCATGGAACTTCACTGACATTCTCAGGGTATTTTCCCCCTCTTCCATTGTAACTGAATAGAAAAAGTATTCCCTGCTATTTGGAGACATGTCACTATAGCAGTTATTCTGATAAAATGCAAACAGAGGCAAAAGAAGCTCTTATCGTGCTTGACATGCTTGTTTGCTGCCCATGTTTATAACAAAGAGGTCCATCTATGTAATGAAAGACTCCATTTTGTCTTTGTACCTTGTTCTTTCTGCCATTTGTACCTTGTTCTTTGTGCCATTGTTGGTAATGGGGTGTGGCAAGCATTGGTAAGAAAGGAAGCTTTCTCTCCAGCAATTGGCTATAAGCAATGCCAAGTTCTTGCCAAAGGTACCCTAATCAGTAGCTCTGCTGCAGGCATCAACCTGCTGGAGGCTGCCATGCTGACGTTGGCACGGTTGTCAACGTCTTTGCCTAACACTCATTTTTCCTATCTGCTTCAGTACAGAAATGTTGGCTGGCAGTTAAGCTCAGTTGCAGCCCTGAGTCAGAAGAGTTCTCCTTGTTTATGAAACAGGCATTTAGAAGTATCTTCATTCAGAACTAGATGAAACACATTAGATGTGGGTGACTTTCAAACAGAAATTCACAAGCTTGAATTAAAAGGTTATAAAGAGAGAAATTCTAATTTCCATTAGGAATTTGCTTGTTTTTTTAATATCCACATAATTAAAGTTATGGCATTTGCCCACCATCCTTTGTTGTTGTTGTTGTTATTGTTGTTGTTGTTGTTGTTGTTGTTTCCCCTTATTCAGGAAATTTCAGAAGAGAAGACTGAGAGGGAATATCAGTGTGATATACTTCAAAATGGTTCTGTGAAAAGACTCATTGAACTAAAAGAGACGGAGTTATCTACAACCTAGCCATTTGTCTACTTTAAAAGGACAGTTCTCTGTTTAGAGAGCTGACAGGACAAACTGAGCACATATTTGCATAAAATGTGCATTTAGTGTTTGATATGTATCAACACAAATTTAGAAATTATTATAATAGTGAAATGGCAGCCAAATAGCTCTTGTCACAATGTATTATAGCTGGAAGCAGGTCTGTGATGTGTTAACCACTTTTCTTAAGAATCCAAGACATATGTTTCAACTTGTCCCTTTTATCAGAGTACTCTCTTTTCCTTTGGCTGATTTTATGGTGCTTTATTTGGAGAAGCACAGCTTCATGATGTCACAAAAACCTGACTCATTTTCTAGTATCTTGATTATCAGGTGTAGTTAAAAAAAATAGCAATTAAGCAAGGAAATAAAGTGTTGGAATCTGTTGTCCCCAGTTATTGTAATTGGATTAAAATACATTTAAGAGTTTCCTTAACCCTAACTTTTAAATCCAGTGTTCCTAAACCATCCAGATGTTTTAAAATACATTTTCCAAAATTCAGTTGTTGTGCTAATTGGGGAGGATAAGAGTTGTAACTAGCACATTTAGAAAGCACAAAAGTGAGATGGCTGAAGTCCACTATCACCAAAATAACAAGCTGCATATTGCCCCTTCTATGAAATGATTAGGAATTTCTATCATTGTTCAGCCTTTTGTTATAACAGGAGCTCAAATCAGATGAATCCTCTGCTTTTCAGAGGTCCAGCATTTTAATATGAAATGGGGCCAGGGAATCTCCAGGCAAATTTTACTTCAAGCATTAACAGACAGATCTGCAAGTAGATTTCAGATGGATTCTATTATTGCAGGACCTCAACCTTCCAATAGCAAATGTTAAAAGCCATCTGTTGCTGCATTATAAGTCAAGACAGCAAGAACTACATGCCAAACTGTTCTAAAAAATTTCTTTGTATAAATCTGGGTCAGACTTTTATC